CTCCAAACTTGGCATCTATTTAAGTTTCTTAATTAGCACATTTCCGGAAACATAGGACATACTCTAGAAGAGAGAGATCAGTACATTGAAGCGGTGGCTACAAAGTTAAAACTGTCTTTCTCACCTACATAATGGATACTAAAGTCGCGTTAAACGGTAAATCATTATAATGACTTAAAATGCAAGACTCTTTTGTTACTAACTAGAGTCTTCCTCAATTTGGACGTCTACCATCCCACTATCTCTCATCGTATGGGCAAAATAGCGAGACAAATAGCCATAGGATGACTGCAGAAATCAAAAAAAAATACTCGTGGTACATCAGATTTTAAAGGTTTAAAAACCTTTCTCTTACTGCAATCACTACCTTGCAAGGAGCATTAATTTAATTTTAAATTAGATTATTTTCCGTTAAAGTAACAACAAACTGAAGTTGTTTTGTTCCATGAACACTTTCCCCAAGCTATTAGAACTTGTTTTTGAAAAAGCTTAATCATTACCTGGAAGTGCGAGCTGCACCGACGAGAACGAACCCGTGACATTAAATTTGCAAGTCAATGCTTCAACTACTGACGGTGACAAATCGCACTTCTAACTGGTATAAGTTTTGTTTCAAACAAATAATGACTATTGCACTGTAAGCTTGCTTTCCTACTAGGAAAAGTCGCAGAAGCCGTGTTTTTTTAAGGTTGCAAATGTGTTGACGACAAGTAACCTACTCCGGTTTTAGTTTAGGTTTCTAGATACCTTTTTATCACTCAACAAATCTTAAGGTGAGCGAGAACCTCAAGTAACGCCCTCAACTACACTTATAAAGCTAAAGATATTATGTAATTTATTCAAATTATCAAGTCAATTTTCTATTAGTACGCATTACGACTTGTGCAGGAACAAAACCAGGGTATTTATAATCACCTATTTTATTCTCCCTATACGTTAATGGTGCCCTCTTCTACCGCTTAAATCCTCTTAACTTTATATGTCGATAACAACGTTATTTACATTAAGTTAACTCTTTACTTCTTGCAATTACTTATTCTACTTTATTAGAGAGATGGTTCACAAACCGAAGAGCCCCATGAAAAACCACGCCACGTCCAACTGACCGAAAAGAAAAGATAGTAAAAAACTTAACTCTACTTAAGATACTTTTCAACTGGAATAATCTAGCCAAAAACCTCACTGTCATCATAGGTAGCCAACTAAATTGCAAGACCCGCCTGAAATACTTGGCTAGGAAAAATTAATACGACTCAAGACCTACACTATGACTCACCCAATTTTAATTTATTCTTTTATACTGCAGATGTTGCATAAACTTCAGCTAATAGTTTTTTTAAAGTGGTATGTATCAGGAGCACTTATAGGGGGTTTGTTTATTTATAATGAATTGTGGGAAGAAGCCCTAGTGTATTGGAAAACGTTCAGAGATTGCAGCTCTACACTGGGAAGGTAAATCAGTGCAGTACACCGCCGAAAAGTTGGAGTGAAAAAATCTACCGCCATCTGAAGATCCGCCGATTTCAAGAACGCGGAAATCATAAAGATCTCGATCGCCCTAATCCATCTCGGCTCACCTCAGCAGTCGACGACCGAAGAAACAAATCGAGAAGTAAGCGTAACAGACGTCTTTCGGCCCCTGAAATTATTGCAGATTTTTACTCGATGAGAATGCGAAGTTTTTATTAATTTCATAAAAAGGCGCTTACAAAAAACCATTTACAAGGTCGGTGTGCTGTACAAAAACCACTACTTCGACGAGGGAAAAAAGTAAAAACGTCTTCAGTGGGCCAGAACACATGAAAAATTGGATATTGGATGACTGGAAAAACGTGTTGTGGACTGACGAGTTCAAATACGAAGTCTTCGGCCAAAAAAGTAGAATTTTTGTACGAAGAAACCAGGAAGAAAAAAAGTGTTACTAGCATGTGTAGTTCCAATAGTAAATTATGAAGGTATCTCCGTGTTAAAATGGAGTTGTTTCTTTTATGCCGACGTCGAACATTTGATCAACATTACTGGGATTATGGTTAATGAAAATTATCTCCAAATCTTAAAAATCAATGTGCAGCTTTCAAGAGGGCGATTTATCGGTAAAGTTTTAACTTCATGCAGGACAAATATCCTAAACACACCGCTCGGGTGTGCAAAACGTCCCTTGCCAGCAAAGAAGAGGAAAACCGCATCCAAATCATGGTATGCTCCCCCCCATCCCCCACCCCACCAAAGTCTGGACTCTAATCCGATCGAAAAATTATGGTTGAACTCAATAGAAAGTAAGAAAGGATCAAAGGATAAGTGTAGAGTTCTCCAGAGATTGGAGCGATATCTGGCAGGTATTCTTTGAGGAAACCAAAATTTAACTTTTTTTTTTTGATTTCCACAGTCTTAAAAATACGATTTTGCTGTAATATGGTTATCTGTTTATTAGAGAATATAACACAAGTAAACTTTTCTTTGGCTTGATTAAATTGCACCAAGTACTACCGCGTTTATTAACTTTTATCCGTAGTCTATACTTCCTTGAGCGATAGTGCATATCGGCTAATATGCAAAATATGCGCTTAACCTTGATAACAAATTATTTTTAAATCTATTTTAAAAAATTGAGTTACGCTAGTTAACTTATAATAAGGACTGCAATTAATACAAAAAACAGCCTTTTTAAAATGTTTACAGACGCTTCTTGTTATAAGGACCAAGCAGATTACATATGGGTCACAAATGTTTAATCTACAACACTTGCGGGGGTGTGTTTTACATAATCAAAAAATTAGTTGTATAAGAAACTATTGTTTTAATGTTTATAGGGCTTAATATGATTATATAGGTCAATAATGCTTTTAATCTTAATCACTTTAAAGAGAAAGAAGTACTGTAATAATCCTTTTGATAACCTGAATTTCGGCTAACCTGACTAATTACTAATAAAATAGTAAAGGGTTGGAATAACTTTAGTGGCATACAATCTAATGCTACACCTCGGATCCTTATGCTTCAATTTAGTTTAAAATATTTTTTGTTTTTTGTTAAAGTTTTAATATATCAACTGTTTCTGGGTTCTTGAGGGATCATGTAGTATTTAACAGGTTTTTCCTCTTTTATTGTCTTTAATTTTATTTCATCTTTATTTTTAGTGAAAAGTGCAGTGATATGTTTAGATTTAGCATCATAATAACATATTGGTAGTCAGCAAAAGAAGTCAAAACCCATCGCAAAATATATACATACAAAAGTTGACCAGGTAATAGAGTGCGATGGATATAACTAATTTGCTTACTTTCTTTTTTCTTCATTTTACATTTGACATGTATTTCGTACTGATGGGTCTTAAAGTGTTTAACTTTTGGGACAATGTTTTTAAGATACTTCTAGCTAATATGACCATAATTCTAGTGTTCTACGGGTGTCTTGGACTGGGTACAAGAAGGCCTTGAATCTAGAGGTTTGTTATTAGAGCGTACAGATCCCATTTTTAGAGATCCTTCTGCAACTTATATTTTGTTTTTTTTTTTATCGTAGCACGCATCGAGCCTAATTCTGTAGTGTATCCATTCTTACCTAATTTTCCTCCTGAGATTAGATGAAAGAAAAAAGGGCCGTAGACTACCTTGCCCTTATCTAGAACTTTTAATTAACCAGCTTGGTAAGATTATAAGTCTTCCATATTTTAAATGAATTTTTTTCAGTGTCTATCTTAAACCAAACAATTTTTGATAAAATGTGTATACACCGCAGAGACAATAACTAAATTCCGATTAGGGTTCGTGGCTTCTGGGCTTTTTAATAAACATACTTTGCCAAGGTGGCCTATCGTGCCACAAAAGGTGCACTGAGTTTTTAAAAAGGGACAATTACTTCGTAAACGACGGCCATTACAACCTTTGCATATGTAATTAGGAGACACGCGTCTGACAGTTGAATTTTTCTGTACTGTAAGGTGACGTTACCCTAAGTTATTGATTTCAAAGATGTAAATGCAGTTCCTTCTACCTTTTCTAGTCTCTGCTTGTAATAACGAATCTAAGGCATAAATATAGCTCAATTCGTTGGAATTATTGGTGTAATGTTGCCCTTGATATCTTGTCGTACTTGTATTCACCTCCACACCTGTAAATAAAAGTGGTTTGTATATAATCACGTAGTTTTATAGATATAAGGTGTTTAATCTTTTATAGTATAGTGCTCCTGAATTTCTCGAGCTAAGTGATCAAATCTATTAGCAAAGTGTTGAATAGTCTCTTCTTCTCCTTTCAAGTAATACGAAGGTTTCCCATTTTTACCATAACTGTAGCAAGTGATCTACGGCCACAAGTATTTTTTATTGCTTCAGTGACTGTTTCAGTCAGTGTAATATCGATATTGCCTATTTTGCTTTAAAATTCTTCATGTACGCTACCATAAAAATTAAGTCAGGTATGGTATGCCAAAGAAGGTCAAGGCCAGTTTGATGACAATTAGTCATTGACGAAGTTTTGAAGGTTCCCGGAGCATTTGAGCATTTCAGGTAGTAGAACCTGCTGGTGATTTCACATGCTTTTTTAATCATTGTATTAAAGATGTAGAAGCATGAGTTAAAGAATAAAGGCGCTAAAGATTGGAAAGAGTTTCAATTATTTAGTAGGGATGTAAAGAAGAATAAAAATAATAAATACGGAATTATTTGGAGTTTCACAAAAGAGTAGAAATAGAGAAAGATTGAAAGACAAAGTTATCCAGTAAAATATAATATGGAATGGAAAAGGAGATAAAATAGAAAAAGACAAAAAGAGCAAGCTCGTGCTTGTATTGTAATAAGAAGGCAAGCGAAAAAAGGCAGAGTAAGATTAAAAGGAAAGACAATAATTGAAGAAAAATCTGTTAGTACTTGCCTTCTCACACTCTTACGCACAAAACCCAGAAGGAGAAAGCATAAGAGATCGACTAAGCTACTATATACGCTTGCGTTTCACGCCTTTATATTTGTTGAGGTTTTACGTCAAACTATTCAATTGTTCACATTGCTGTAGTTTTGTTACGAGCTTCAAAGCTCAAGTAATATGACTTTGACTGTTATTACTTTAAACTCCTTTAAAAGAATTTGGGGACGTTATACTGGTTTTGGTTTTCATACTCATAAAAGTACTGATACAACAAATAATTTAGTTTACAAAGTTTGAAGTTTTGTTAGAGGTTACTTTTGTACAGAATGTTATTAACTTTCTTTAGGTACTTTTTCTATTGGAAGAACTCTTTCGCCTAAACTGCATTTAAGGTAAGTTAGCTCTTTAAATAAAAATTTTAAATTAAAAATTAGCAATTACCGGCAGGAATTTACATCCCGAGTCCTCTACATGCGAAGTAAACAAGCCAATTCCTTTTTCTAAAACTAAAGCCGCTTCCTTTAACATAACCGATTTAACTAAAAGCGACCGCGAAAAGTTCTTCGCATCTTTCCTCTTTTTTATATATATAAAAAAATAATACTTGTTTTTATCACAGAAGAAGAATTAATTGGGCCGGTTGGCTAAACATTTCAATATTGCTGCTTGTTTGTTATTGTATGTACTACGGCCAAGATCCTGACTGCGATCTTTTTCCTTTCATAACAAAGTTTGTTAAAACCGGTAGTTACCTGTGCATCTTGTCTAGAGAATACGTTTATAACTTGTTATGAATAGATTTGGAGCCTGAAATTTTATTTAATAAACGGGAATAAAAGGAAAATCTTCTTAAACAATAAAAATAAGAATGGAGATTTTTTTTGTAAGTATACTACACTTTCTTTTTTGTAAACACGCTTTTCTTGTAAAGAAACTAATTTGAATTATTAATAAATCGGTTTTATATAATTGAAGTATTGCTTAATTCATTCCGTTAAGGCTGCTTTATTTTGCTTTGATTATTTTAAGATGGGGAAATTAAGATAATTAAAAAATATAATCCCCAGCTTAACGAGTAAAAGAAGGAACCATTTTTTATTAAACGTAATGGTTTAAAATAAATAAATTTCATGAGTTGGTCCCTTTCAGTTATCAATGCAATTAATTTATATAGAAAAATTTATATGTTAGCAATTCTGCTTTATATAAACTTAGAACTAAGATATCCGTTCTTCTCAGGATTGGTATAAAAATCCAATAGTTTGTTTTTTGTAGGTGGAAATTCCTTAGGAAGAACCTTAAACTACTTAATAAGATAGTTAATTAAATCAAAATTATAGCGCAAAGCTCCGTAATCAGCACCTTTTCAGGCTTAAGCAAAGCCCGTAGCGTCAAGGGCGAGTAGTACTTCGCCACGATACGGCCTGCATAAGAGTAATTTAATTAAATAAATTTGAAAATTATATAAGAAGAGGGAGAAACCTCCGTTTCTTTCAACAGCTTCAATCGCTGTTTTAGAGGCAGCGGAAATTTCTATGTCTATTTTACTAACAAAGCCAAGAGCGCCGTCTCCTACAGACAAAAAGGTAACACAGAAGATATGTACTTCGTTAGAGATAAAAAAAAAACCTAAAAGTTTAACGCCATATTTTGTTCTACTACACAACTTGGAATCCTGCAATGTTTTCAAAGTTATTTTCTTCGAAGGATCAATCTTTCCTCTATCAATCCAGACTTGTAATTTCCTTGTAAAAAGTGTAGAGATTTAAAAGATAAAAATAATATTGCTCCATTCATTTAAATAGAGCAACCCGACATTAAGTCGTAGAAATTCTCCTTCTCTTGGTTTAGGCGAACGCATCTTAGGGATCAGCCTCCAAAAAGGGGTGTTCCCTCCTTGAAAACCAAGTTTATTTTTATGGTTAGGAGAATCTCCTCTACCACACTTTCCCCCTATACTAAAAAAATATATAACTTCTTCAACAAAGAAGGCATATTTGCAACCTCTGTTCCCTCTTCTCCTTATTTTCTTTTTACATTTTAAACTTGGAAGATTATTAAGAGCAATATCTGGAAGTTCTCTCAGCGCATCAATACTAGGTGGGCGCAAGGGAAGACGCATAACAAGAAAAATGGGAATATGATAATTTTCTGTATAAAAGTAGGTAAGTGGTATAGAGGTTAACAAAATATTACGTTACGAAAAAGCAAGGGGGAACGGGTTGGATATCATGTTGAGCAAGAGGACCCAAGCTACTTCTGTCCCATTTGAACTTTATCTCAAAAGGTTAGTAGCTTTTATTAATTATTATATAACCGTTAAAACAAAGTTCGAGGGGTATTAACATTAATTATTCCTAGAAAACTTCCTTAGTAACCTTTATGCCGAAACTTTTAAAACCATGTAATTCCTTAGTTTTAGTTAATATTGGTAAAAAATTATTCCACTAGTCAACAGCTTTGAGGACTTGGGGAGCACAAAATTTTTTACGAAAAGTTGTGTGCTTTCTAAAAATGTTTGGCTAGTTAGTTTATTCCATTATGATTATCTTTATAAAAAAAAAATTTATGTATATATTTTAATATATATAGTATGTTACTGAAAAGTACTAACTCTTCGTGCTTCGAGTTTTCTACCTGGCTACTTCGAACATAATAGAAATAAATAAATTTAATTCCATTGATTTTTTGTCCTATCAACTCAACATCATAAAGAGCGTTAATATCTAGTATATCTCTACCTTATTAAGATAAAACTTTTCAAAATATCCTTAAAAGACTATTAGTAACAATACTGTTCAGTACTAATTGTACGACATTAAAAGTAAAAATTATTATTAAGTTATAATGATAGTAGTAATAACAAAAATAAAAAATTATACAAAACAATAAAAATACAATACTGTTCAGTACTAATTGTACTACATTAAAAGTAAAAATTATTATTAAGTTATAATGATAGTAGTGATAACAAAAATAGAAAATTATTCAAAAAGAATAAAAATACAAGTGAATATATTTTATACAAATATAAATTTGATCAAATAAGCCAGAATTTTATACAATAAACCATCTTCATGAGTGCGATATGTATTGTGTGGTCTCAGTGCCTTAGGTCTTACCCCTTTTAAGAATTTGTGTATAATTACCACAATCAACAGAGTGCTCAACGCCTTACACCTTAAAAAATATAAGCGCATTCCATTCACTCAATTAAAAGAAAGTTGGTTAGAAAAGAAGTTAATAATCTTGATTGAGTTACTTCTCGGATAATTAATTATTTCTAATTATGTTCTTAATAAAGGGGCGCGTCTGTAACACTAAAACCGCTTATTTAAGTACATCACTCATGTTGCCGTGCCTTCATATCTAAACCTTACTGAAATTTTTTAACAATAATAGAGCAGCGAGTATATATGAAAAGATGAAAGTAAAAAAAAAGCACCTCTTTTACAATTTTCTCGTTCGACCTCTCTAATTATTAAAGTACACAATACATTCTTTACATAGAGATATTTATAAACCTATTAAAGGTGGATTGTACGTGCGCATTGTAATGTATCATTTTCTATAATTAATCATCACATACATGACTTGTTATTATATGCTTTGCGCACTTAATTTTTATATGAACTAAACTTACTTAACAAACCTGAAGTAAATATTTGGAAGTCTGTTTTCCCATGTAATTTTGTTGATTGCAGGATGCATTAGAGATAGGGCATTCGTGTTCTCTTCAACTATATGCCTGTTTTCCGCTTGTAATAAAGCCTTTGGTGCATAACGTTAATCCAGGATTTCTGGATTATTACTGTAATATTATTCTAGTGATATAACATCGTATTTAAATTCTTCTTAAACCCTGTGGTAAGGGCTATGATTTTATGTAAGTTCGTAATTTCACCAATATGCGGTAACAACCTCTTGGTTGTGCACTGTCCTTCTATTTGACTTGAGATGTGGTCCATGGTTGGCGAATTGTTATATATGGAATCCTCATCTTTCTTTCTTGCATTGCATATTTCATGTATTTTGCTCATGAATGTTACGAGTGACTTCCTTCCAAAAGCATTTACAACGTTTTAAATCATTTGTTCTGGAGCGGTCATTAGTAACTTTTCAGTTCTAGACTTAAGCTCGGGGTGTAGACTGTTCATTATGATTTGTATACTAACAACCGCCTTTTTTAAGTTTTTCTGAAGGAATGAGTTCAGGTTTTCCAATTTTTTCGTAGGGAAGAATATGTTATGGGTCCCTTGAGATATTAATGCTAACTTCACGTCTCAGTTACTGTCTTTAATGCGAAGCATCCCATAGAATTCGTCCATTACATGTTGCAGGTTGAAAAGAATTGCGTTTGTACTGCATAATTATAAATATCACTATATAGTGTCGCGAATAATAAAAGGTAAGTTAGCGGAAAAAATTAAAAAAATTAAAAAAAATGAAAATTTATTTAGTAAAAATTATTTTAAAGAGAAATAATTAAGGATTTATATGCAAATTGTAATATATATATATAGTCAAAAATTGGAAGAATAGATAAAAAAGATCCATATAAACATAGCTGAAGATCCTTAAGCCATGTGGCGGCTAGGCGCTGATAACGTAATAGAATGAAACAAAGAAACAAAGAATAGGGGTTAACTTTGTACACAAAATTTATTAAATTTTTGGGAAAATTAAAAAGGTTCGGAAGTATTCTTAATTACATGTAATTTGAGATTTTGGTAAATTTTTAGTTACCTTATTAATTAAGCATGTAGCATATTGTTATCTTCCTTAGCTTCTATTCAACCTATTGGTGCTACTTCTGTGTCTTTGCTACGATGCTTGTACTAAATTTTTTTAATCATATTAAATTTACCTAGATAAAAGCACTAGCATAAAATGTAAAAGGATATAACTAACTTTATGAAAACAGTGTACTTACTATAGGTATTTTAAACGAGAAAAACCTCGTATATAGAGACAGCTTCAAACCGTCTCGTTGCTTTCGCACGTCCTGTGCGGTCATTTAACTTACACATCTTACCTTTATTTTACTTTTTTGGCGCGGGACGTGCGAACCAACCTTGGCTCAGCTGTAACTGCAGTTATAGGTCCCTTGTGTTATATAGTTATACACATTGGCAGCTGCATAGGGCGACTACGTTATGGGTAGTCTCGCAGCTGGAGCAGACTGCTCCGTGGCGTACTTGAACCGTTGTGCAAGGTAGTGATCGGGACCTATCGGCCTTCGTTGAGTCATGTACATACTTTGACTTTAATAAACGATCGCCAAACCGCTTTCTTAATAAACAGTCATCGTACAAGCGCACGAACAAGATCGTGCCATGTAGTACGCACTCGCTACGTATGTTATTCCTAACGTGCTTTGGTAAACGTTCTATTATAATTAAAGTTGCTTGCCATATTGCACCAACATATGGAGTGCTATTCGGTCTCGCTAAGCAATCGGTGTTGCTTCCAAAGAATTAATATAATTTCGAAAAAAAGGAAAACTCTTACTCTCCCAATGAAGCGCACTGCACACCCACCACTGACGCTAAACTTTACAAAAAAAGTACATCGGTGAATAAACTGTCATGGCGTCCTCGTGTAACTACGTAGCGTCAAAGGTCTAGGTTGGGACTCCAACTTTCTATCGTTTACATTGTGCCCCAAAGCAGACCCTGGTTGCTTAACAAACGACACTTGTACGTTTGTTCACCGGCTAACCACGATATAAGCGTTTCCGCCTGGCCTACGTTTCGTAGGCAAACAGTCTCCTTGCTTTAAATGAGAAAAAAAGATACTAAGTGACTATTTGAGCTTTTAGTCTCTTTTACACACGCCCTTTAGATGTTAAGCATCTAATAAACTATCCTATTAAGAATTATTGAGGACACTCTGTTCGGCCCTGTAGGCCAAAATAAACATATTAAACCTGATCTCTAATCAAAAAAGCTTAAACTTCTTACAACAATACGGACTGAAAGAACGCCAAAAACAAAAGAACAAAACTTGTTATTTATTAAGGTTAAAGTGAAATATATATATAATTTTAATACTAACCATGATAGATTAAACCTACCAGTTAAAATTAATTAAACCGCAAAGCGCATCCCCTCAGTTGTATGGAATCTATCTTATTTAACTGCGCACTGAAAGTGCATCATACCATCAACCCCCCCCCACCCAACCCTTACAATACGCACAAACCCTATTGACTCCGTTAATTTCTGTTAATTTTTAAATCGCTTAAGGTTTTAGTGAGCGCGTCAGCCAGCATCCTCACTTCTTCAGTATCAAAGAAATCACCTCATCAGCCAACTATTCCTTAACTAACTGTAATTTCACGTTGCAATATATATACAGGGTTGATTACCTATCTTAAATGTTTGCTGGTGACAATAAAACCACATTTCGTTTAAATGGGTTTGTATCCACCTAACATTGCGGACACAGAAAAGAGAGCGAAATATTCCGCTTCCGCAGAGAAAAAGTCAGTAATTGTTTGTCTTTTCGATTCTTAAACAACTGGACACCCGTCTAAGAATATTAAATCCCTTCCTGCTTCTTTTCTCATTTTCAGAGGCAAAACTAACATCTAAGGATATATTGAAAGTAAGCTCACTCCCTTTTAAAGCGATTAATATTAAATCCTTTTTTTGTCCCAGAGATATCTAAGTATCTGCTTTCCTGACTTCCAGTATTCCACGCCATAACCTTAAAATGCTGAGCAAATTTACAGTAAAGCAATGTCGGACATAGTTCCATTATCTAAATATTATAAAGATCTACAAGTTCAATTAAGGACAGAAGAAGGTTATACTTAGACGTCACCCGAGGAAAAAGACGTAGTTTAGAATATTTCAAACTCTCGCCAAGTATAGTCAATAGCGGTTTGTCTGATCAAAACTTATAGGTGTAGATGTTTACGTTATGCCACCTTATGAATTGTCACTATTTCTTTATAGCCAAACCCAATATTCCCAACAATTCCTCGTTGGTAAGGATGCGGAGGTTATCCACGTAAAAGATAGCAAGATACCTCAGACGCCCCTAACCCTTGTAAAATAAGCATAGCTCAAGTTCGGATTACGTGGGTTCACATTTTTTCG